CCCCCCCCCCGCCCCCCCCCCAACTTTCTACCCTATATACTTCAACACTCCTTTCAGATAGTGTTTCACAAAAATGATTCAAATAAGCATAATCTGTCCATTTTGGGCTACGTTCAAACAGTCTAAGAGAAAAACTTTCTTTGGCACAATTTTTTTCCGGAGTACTGAATTAAAAATGAGAATTGATATGAGATGGCAAAGATGTTGAAAAGGAAAACATGAATTATGTGTTAATAGTAGTGTTTCATATGTATCATTTTCTGATAACATAACCACAAAGTGACATACATGAGCAGAACTTTCCTCGTTTTCATGTGATACAATCAGATTTTTATTACTTCTGAAAAGAAAACAGGAAAATACGCTATCTCATCTAATTTTATTATTAGATTTTGCATTCATTTTATTTATGATATTACTCTAACCGATAAATTTTCCTGGTGTCGAATCACTGCTGTGTAACGAATAGTTTTCATGGAAATATTTCCATAAAATCAAACCTCAATTCAATGGCCTATTCAAGATCTTCTAAAATGAAATAGGTTATGTTTTATTCTGCCTATATGGGTTTCGAGTGGCTAGCGTAGAACGAATCTGAGCTGAATATGCACACACTCCCTTTCGAATTCTTTTCGAGTATGAACGAGACTCACGAATGATCAACCAAATAAGTTTGAATCCAACAACTTAACATATCCATTGAGTGCAAAATTAAACGGGGACAGTTGAGCCTCCCCCTTCAGATTAAAGTACGTCCTCTTCCAAATTTCCAGTATTTTTGTCGTCAACTATCGACTTTCTCCGTTAGAACCTGACAAATTATTTCAGTCAGTCTTCAAACACGTCTTTTGAGTGTCAACCAAAGAAAGCAATACAAACTTCTATGGTATTCCGAAACAAAACTTCTTTAGTTTATTTACTAAAATAAAACTTTCAAGATGCCAACATTCATCGATGAAACTTGTGCTATTCAGCTCAATGAATAGTAAAGTTATACGAGATAAGACAGGCTATGGCCAAACCTTATTAATTCTGAAAAGAAAATATTTAATGTATCAAGTAGTGTCATTCGTTCTGCCTACTTGTTTTTTTTGAAGATCATCGTACAGGTTGTCATGTCTCTAAACATTGAAATACGAAGAGAAAACTCGACAGAAAATTATTTGTGAAAGAACTACATGACATTGATATCATCTCGTGTGAATGATTTTGTTAAAATTACCTCGATCTACATCCTAAACTCCACAGTTAACATCTGTTCTGATGTGAAATTAAATTTATTCAATCGAAATAACCAATAATGTATTTTATTTTACAGTGGATCTATTCATTCAAAGATTATGTTTTTATTTCATTGATCTACTACTTTATATTATATCCAATGTTATTAACAAAAACAAAGCCGATGGAAGAAAAGACAGATTTTAAATTTTTATGAAAACAAATATATTTTATTTTTAGGACGTTTAACAATATTTAGTCTTTTTTTGGTTTGTTGTTATGGTAAATGCACTACTATATTGACTTGAAATTTGAATGGTGATATCAATAATCTCTACATTTCAATAATATTCTACAAATAGCATAATAACAAATACCGAAACAAAAATTTGAGTAGCTGGATGAATTTAGAGCGAGATAAAATCGATAAAATTAGTAACATTAATAGAAAGATTATTTTGCATCGCTTTAAAAAAAAATTATAGCATTGTTTATTTTCTGCCGGACCAATAATTTGTTTTCATAGTCAGTATGTTCATTTAATTCTGATGATTTAGCTTGCATACTGACAAAACAAATTAAGAGCTTATCGACTAGTGCAAGATGGAAAAATCTTCTTGTGTCCAGTCTTTTAATCAATCGGAGAGTCACATACGATTATAGGAAATATGAGTCCTCATTGTCAACGGCTTTTGAATAACACGAAAAGCCAGTAGCCCCACTCTGTATCGATAATTATCGATCGTGCCTCGGACAACATATTCTTTCTGTCTCCGAACGATCTCTCTTGCTACGTCAGAGGATCTTTTTCACTGTTTGTCGCGTGCATTGAGAATGATTATGAATAAGTGTGAAGGAAAAAAATCAAGCGGCCGGTCCATATTCTATTTTTTGTGAGGAAATTTAGAAGACAGCAGAGAAGCGTTTTCCAGAGAATGAATGCTTCTTTTCGTTTCCTAAAACTTTTTGCTTTGATTTAGATCGATGCAGTTTTTAGTAAGTAATTCGTAGCAATTTTTTTGGTGTTAATGGTAAGCAAAAAAAATAAATAAATTTTTTTAGATCCATTTTAATCACCGTTGGTTTTTTTCTAACTTTTTTATATTCTGTTTTTCTATTGACCTATTTAGATATGAAAAAACATAAATACTTCGATTAAGAGCGAATCGAGCTCGCTTTCATTTCAGCATATGCAGATCTAAACTGGGATCTACACTCACACCCTTAAGATAGCTTTCAGCTTAATCAATGACTGAAAAGCAAGAGTTAATATCAACAGATTGAACTTGTCGTTTTCTCAAGAGATAGGTCGATCTGTTTTTTCAATTGATCTATGACACCCATATCCTAGAACTACGAATATTAAAACAGTTCCTTTGAGATTGATAATAAATATAGGGCTTACTTGTAGGAATATATAAGATTTTAAATTTTCTTTTCGTTCTTGGGGAAAAGGAAAATTAAGAAAAGAAATAATTTTTCTTTCTTTTCTGAACGTAAGAAGAAAGTGAAAATGTCACCCCTACACACTACCGCAACATCGTAGTGTATTTTACAATAATTTTAAGAAGAGGAAACATACTTTACCGCATTTGGGAAGCAAGCACTAAGAAAAGCATCACATGGAAACCAATGTTTGGTTGACGACGACATATAAAAGAAAGAGAATATATTTTCCATGTGCGCATCATCAAGATGAAACATTTACTAGGTAAAGTGTACAACTTGTTCTACCGCAATGGTTTCAAGTCCTGCAGTGAGAAGAATTTTCAACAGCCGCGATGAGAATATAACTGACTTAACTGCGTCCTTTTATGAGCTGGAACCTTTTGATTCTATTGTACAAGCATTGCAATGGAGGCAGATAAAAAGACGTTTGCCTTCGTGTATGAAAAAGACACTACGGAATCGATTTATGCTGCCAAACATTATCTATGTAGGTTATGCAATAGGTCTTTTAGTCATCGATTTCAATGAAAATTTGAATACATCATCCAACAATACATCAGGTGCAAATGCTACAAATGCCAGTAAAGTACGAACGTCGATTCTTGATCGGCCAATACAAAATGATCCGTATGTGAATCAACTATATATCGGTAAATTCTGATGCGGGTTTGTGTTTCCATCGATAGTTATAGATTCCTCAATTTTTTCTATCATCATATTGCATTTAAATTCAGTATCGTACTCCTAAGATTCGTATATCTTCTATCGTAATGCGTCATACCACTTGTACTATCTCTTCAACCTATAGTAATAGATGCAAAATATAATTCTCATATCGATTGGCACTATTTTCAGACGATATCGCTCTACAGTAATTAATGTTTCGTAGTCGAGTTCTTGTTTGAACTTCGTTAGCTTTATTATTTGGCTACATTCTATGTACAATTGGTTTTGTCTTTCTGAAAGATTATGAGAGGTGCTATTTTCGAGAATCTTGCGTCATGGGTACCTAAAAAAAAAGAGTGCTTTGCTATCTCGTATAAGATGCAGAATAAATGCGAATCGCCAATATGTGAATCTGATACTAGCCATACCGACGTCATGTATATTTTTTTTCTAGGCTTGGCGATTGTTAGTATAATCATGGGTTTTCTATATTGTTGGGCTTGGCGCAATCGATCACTATTTGATATTGTAATGATACCTGAATACTTGAATTTGGTGCAAGCAGGACTTTATTTATGGTCCGCTACTTGTTACTCTAAACAAGACACTCTGGGCGGTTATTATACGATGGCAGTACATAAAATCGAACTTACTGCATCTGTGATTGGACTGTTTGCCGCCAAGGGTTGGTGAGTACAACACAGTGTAACAAAATTACCTTTGCCAAGCATTTGGCTATGCCTCTGAGAACAGAAATTTCTTAAAAAATCTGAAAAATCAAATCAATGCGAGTAAAAAAAGGTGGCAACGTCACGAACTATAAAACAACAGATACTGATCCTGCTCTACTGTGATCTATTCAATTGATTATGCGCATGCATTTCAATGTTCATCCCTATTTTGACTGATCGATTTCATGAAAGATTAATACTTCTAGTCACGGTGATGCTTAACTCTATTCATAGATCTTTTTTCTTTGAATATGGAAAAACTACAAATTTTTCAGTGTGAGTGCTATATTCCTGTATGGGAACTGTTGACTTTAAGACGATAAAAAATCGACTTTGATTTGTTTACGACTATTGGAAAATAGAAAGTGTAATGTTTATTTCTAAGCAAATATTTTTCTATAAATTATCTAAACTTTCGAAGAACTGAACGTTTCATTGTAGGCTCGTATCATGGTACATGACTTATACCCGGGTATTCGGGAGAGGTTACACTCTGGATGATCCAGATATGGTTTCTTGTCTGGCAACGGTAGCTAACGCGATTATCTATCTTGTATATAATATACAACTCAATGTTTCACCTGAACAGTATGAAACTAATATGTTATATAAATCTGCAGACATTGTTGACTTTGTTGATGCATGCTTTTGTGTATTTGCCTGTTTACGAGATGATGACTGGCTTTGGTTTCTTCCGTTGGCTGGACAATACGGCATCGCATTAGGACGCGTTCAAGTAGAAGCGAAAACTTTACCACAATTTGGCAAAACTCCAATACTTCTAACAAGTATGTGTCGACGAAGAATCAACACAAAACAGAGTCGAAACTATTGGAATATAAACAAACGCCATGATATCATCACTGTACCGATATTTGCACCAACTCTAGAGAACTCTGTCACGATAGATTCATGATCACTCGCCTCTCTCGAATTTCTTGTTCGTGTGAATAGTGATATCAATAGACTTATCATAGATCATTCATCGCTTTTGTTCTTCATTACCTTCGCTTAGTCACTGTTGTGTTCTGCTGTGTATTTCTCTTTGTTATTTTCTACTCTCTCTCTCTCTCTACAATTGTTGTATCTTGAGGGTGGGTGTGGGTGTCAATCTTTAATATAGTCTTTTCAAAGCGAAACATGTAATGAAATCATTTATAGGTAGTTTATTAATTCCTGATGTAAATTCGGGTTTTGATAATTTCTGATGACAGGACTAGCATTAATGATATCTGTTTCATGAAATGAGCATCACCAATACGAACATCCACGGAATATCTATCACTACAGTGGTGAGAATGAGAACGAGAAGAAGAATATTTCCATGCGTGACATCAAGATCTATACGAAGAACCGATGGATGAGATGTTCTATGAGTCAGTATTAAAAGCATATGACTAGGAAAAGATCGATGGGACCCTAGTCAACTCTCCCTAGAAGAATTCCCAGGGAGTCCCTAGGGATTTCGTTCTTTTGCGGGGACTCCCTGGGGACTCTCCGGGGAGTTATCTAGTCAAAATCGATGAAATATCTAATTACTAATAAATTCTTCTTAAGTTTTTAAAAATTAAAAAGATTAAAAAGTTTTTTTTTTATTTTAAAAAATTTCATCAATTCTCCCCAGAGAAACCCTCGGGGAGTCCCCCAAATAAAAAGTCCCCGGGCACTCACGACAGGTACTCCCCCAGCGATTTCGTTATTTTACGGGCACTCCCCGGGGAGTCGTTGGGGGAGAGCCGATTAGGGGAGTATGAACAATGAAACTAAATAGAAGAGCTTATTTTTCTCGAACAATTAACATTGAGAGAAGAAAAAAATGGAACCAGCCAATCGAATTGATATCATTTAAAAACCATTAGAAGAACAAAGACAATGCGAAAATCATCAAGAACTCTTTCATTGCGACACTTGTTAAACTTTTCAGATCAATTGTTGTTGATCACTTATTCTTAACAGATAAAAGCTCTTACTTAAATTCTGAGTTTATCTTATATCATTCCCCACACTATTGTGGAGTTCAAAAAGCCATATAAATTAAAGAAAAATATGCTACTTTCTTGGAAACCGAAAACTCGTCGATTTTGCCACGTGTGTTCACCATACAATACATCTTCAGAAACTTGATTTGTTTTTCATTAGTTTATATTCAATATTCTGTCAACTGTACACTATAGATATTTTTGTTGTTGATTGATTTAGATAACACGAGACATTCATATTTACTTCAGTTTTTTTAATGTTGTGTAACATTTTCTGTTCTATCTGGGAAAAAAGAAAAGAAATCCATTTAAAATAAATAATAACATCGTCGATAGGTACGAAAAAGAGTCCCTAATCCAGTCTCCCCCGACGACTCCCCGTAAAAGAACGAAATCCCTAGAGACCCCCTGATGATTCTTCTAGGGAGAGCTGACTAGGGGTACTACCTCATGGATTTGAGTCATGACTTTGTCTGCCACGCTTTCACAATCACTGTGAGAAATTTCATTCAACTTCGTATATAAATTGTAGATTATAAATGCTATATACTGCTTTCATTTACTGTGCCCAAACTAACCATTATAGGAACACATACATCACAAACATAAAATAACAAGTGATTTACGAATAACAATTTTAGTAAATACTGTTCGATCGATCTTCTTTCGCAATGTTCCTCTTTCCTGATTGAACTCCCTAGATAACGGTTGAGAGAAAAGACTTCAGTCTTGTAGAAAAGAGAGGATATGTGGTTGTTAGTGAGAACGTTGATGTTCACTACCTATTCACATTTCACACCCACACCATGGATATCAATATTTTATGCTTTCATTTAGGCAATAATGCAACAGAACACACGACAGTCTTCGCGGGAAAAACATTTTGTTTGTCAGTTTCAAGGTTGCAATAATCGATGTGATGGCAATCATGTTGTTACTCGTTGTGGTGGCCGCGCTTGTGATCGTCTTCCCTATGGTTATGGTCGTCATTATAAATGTGACTTATGTCTCAGTGTTCGCCGCCGTGGTAGGCATCATGTCTATCACTGCAAAACCTGTAACTATTTATATTGTCATGGGTGCTGTTTAGAAAAAAAACTCAATGATAAAAAATAATGAAGATTGTAATTGAAAATATTTGAATGAACAATTTTGTTAATTGTTGACTCTTCAACCACCGTTGACGTTCTACAGAACTCTGATTTTTCATACACTGTTGACATTTATTTGGCTATACATATAGAGTCTTTCTTCTCTGTTCTTTATTTGATAACGAGTGTGGGTTATATATGGAAGTGCTTCGCCCACACCTACACCTAAAAGCTGGAAGATCATCTAACGCAACACAAATTTGTACTGATCAGTCAACGGTGACTATTTCTACTGTTCAAAATGTAGAAAATGCTTCACGAAGAAATCTGAGAAATTATGCTTTAAACACTAAAATCAAATCAAAAAGAATTTTCTGGTCTCGCACTTTTTTACTGAATACTGACTAATATCTTAATAAACAAAAAGTTTCTAAGGGCAGTTCCTTTGGGCTAAAATATGAAAATCACTTGTCTTCTTCCGCTTGACTATGATAATATAAAACGCGTAAAGTGAATAACATGTAATCGGTGATAGTTACTTTCAGAAAAAACGATCGTCAAGGAAATGATCTCTGTTATTCCATTGGAAATAGATTCACTTATATGTCTATGGTACAAATCAATGAGCTGGTCTCAACTCTTGCTTTTCAGTAACCCATTTTCTGTCAAAATTAAAATATGAAATAGATGTGCTTTAGTCTAAATTAATTTAAAAGAAATACTGAGTTTAATATTGCCAACGCGTTTCGTGCTATATTCTAATATATTGAAACACTAGAGTGTAGGTGTGACAACTGAGAAGAAACGCCCGCATTCTCGAAATCTATTCTGAAACATTCTTCTTCAATGTTGCTTTCTTCTGATCCACAAATAGTAAAAATTGCCGTCAGGAACCATGCACATTAAGCAATGATACTTCACAAAATTGTAGATATGAGTAGTAAGAAAAACGATGCATGTACACCCATGTTCGCATCCACGTACATACCTACACTCGAAAATGAGGTGCAAGAATAGAAAAATCTTTTCTAATGACCTTTAGTTAGATATATATTGGTTTTAATATATTCTTGTATATCAAAAAAAAAGATAACTCAATGTCTTTTAGACAGAGGAAACGTCTGTCCAAACAAAGAGAGAAAGAGATAGAGAACAGAAAAAAATAGAATGACCTCAAAAATGTCCTTAACTTAGTAAGACGAGAAGAAGACGATTCAACTTATAGATAAACAAGAATGAGAAAATATAGAAAGGAATGAAAAAGAATCACTACATAGTTATATCACCAGCTGTATAACGAGAACGACTATACCGATAATGTTTAGTCGTTACTATGTAACACCTTTATCCAAACAACCTACGTTTTAGACATTTGATTTTTGAATATCATGAGAATAAACGATAGTTGTACATCGTTAATACTGAAATATCAAATAGAAGAAGAAAACAAGAATGTAGGATAAGTCACAAGCAATGATATTTTGTGGTTACAGATTAATCTGTATCAAATGATGTAATAACAGTAGGGTGAGAAAATCTCATACAATGCATTGCGTCTATTATCTTCTGACATTTTGTTCCATATCGACAAACGTCCTTTATTCGAAGTGTAAAAGAAAAAGAGTAGTTATCACTTTGTTCTCCATCAACCATAGTGCAACTAGTTGAGCTTTGTTCTGATAATATTTGTTGATCATTATAATATTTCTGTTTCTCTGATGGCATCTCGATTGAATCTGATAAAAAGTTTATATGAAGGTATGTCTTCAAATAAATTCTTGTTCACTCTTCTATACTGTTGCTTGTATTTCTTCTAAAACTCTTTGGCCGTGCGAGTATTTTATACAATGTTTGTCTGACACATCTGTACAGGTTGCTTGAAATTTACAAGGAATTAAAAAATATGGCAAGTCTGTATGACGATAAAGGGCTCGATGAATTGGATCACATAACGATTGGCAATTTTTATCTAACTCACAAGTAGTTACTTGGCGAGTTTCGTGTGTTAGATGAGCCTCAGGATCTCGACATAGCTCAGCGAAGCGACATGGATGCGAAAATTTTGAATTATGATCTTTTCCATCATTGGAAAATTGAATAGGACAATCAATGCTTTTAGGACAAGACGCCCGCACAGGATCATAGGCTTTGTTAAACGATGATTTCTTCGTCTCATCTTCTACATTTTTTGTATGCAATATCATTCGAGTAAAATATTCAAAGAAGTTTGATTTTCTATTTGGCAACGTTGTCACAGGTAAACCAGAGCTACGGCTGAAATTTTTATCGTACGACATGTGTAGATAGAATTTTTTCTCTTTACAAACGATCATATTTCGAATAGGCACTGTCTGAATTCCAGCACTAACATGAATAAATTTCAATGCGTTTAGATCGAGATCTGATTTTGCAAATGAATGAGAGATTCTTTCATGATTGTAGATTGCATTTGGACCAGCATGAGAGAGTGTAATAGTATTGGTTGAACACTGAATTTCCAGACAACATGTCATAAAATCATCTGTATTACATCCAACATAGAAAACCGTTGATTTAGCTGCATATTTATCTTCATGAATAAACGTATGATGCTGAGATGGTAGACCGAAGTTTAGATAAGAAGGCTGCTCATGATAATTAGAGTCTCTATATCTTGGCTTTGGTGCAACATAACAAATCAAACAGCGAAGATTTGGCTGTCGCTCAGCGGAATTAATCTGTTCATTTGATAATGTCAACATCATATCTCCATTCATCATTTGCCAATAAATATAAATCGTCATATTTTTCGACATTTCAGCAAGACGTTGTTCTGCATGAAATTGTGAAATCGTCAGAGGCAAGATGAAATTATCTTTAAAATTACTTGATGGGATTGTAATTGCGCAACCTTGCAGAAATGTTGAATGTAAGGCCGTTTCATGCTTACCAAATCGTTCGATTAATTCTTTGATAACGAAATCTTGATATTCAGCTCGCAATGCGGAACTTGGCTTCGGCCCAAATTTACTTTCTGCTGTTCCGATTTCACCTTGATGTGGTGTTATTGTTATACGATCTTTGAAAACAGCAATCATTGCTCGCCGAGTATCATCATCACTGTCGAGCCATTCAAATATATTTTGTGCGACGTAAATATGATCGATATAACTCAATGGAATAAGTTGAGGTAAATGAGCTTCAATTGCTCGATGCGAATCAAGTTGAAGCCAACATTCGATAATCGTTTTAAGATCAATATTCATCGTTTTCTTTTGTAGAAAATAACTTGCTGTAGCTATCAGTTCAAGAGCACTGGCACGTTCATAATCTGGAATTGAAGCGTGCAGTTTCGAATCATGATACAATTTAATTCTTTCTTCAATCGACTCGGGAGCAATTCCAAGCCATGGACGCCATTTATAAGTTCGGCCACTGACAAATGATGTTGCTGCTTGTAGAGAAAAATTTGCATCAGGATGATGCAAGATTTCACGTTTGAAAACAATAAATACATCACCATAATTATGACCTAAATGGGGTCCAAGAATACTAAAAACATGTTTATTTGTTCCTAATTGTTTATCTCGATCATAACCAATTCCAGTAGGGTTCAATTTAAGTTTCATAGAAGCTTGAGCTATTTCAGTTGTTTTCTTATGAATTGTATTCATATCATCAGAAGAAATATTATGCGAAAGATAAACACATTCCTTGTCAATAAAATCTGAACGAGAAGTAGAAATCGAATTATCAGATGATAAGAATTGAGTTTCTTCTGCATTTTCATTCGAATGCATTTTCAAGAATCCATTTTTTTCATATTCTTCGGCAACCAGAGCAGTGATATATTTCTTTGCACTTTCTGCATATATGGGCACTTTTAAAGCATCGATTCGTCGAATGCGACTATGATGAAGGATAGAATTAGCAGTGAAACCGGGATCTTTCAATGCTTCCATATATTCTCGACTCATGACATGCCCATGAATAAGAATTGATTTAAATATTTCAGGATTACAGCGATGGACAGGTTGCACAGTACGTAACCATTCAATGATTTCTTGTGGTATCGATCCGGATGGTAACGGTTCCCAGTTTTCACGCTCTACATAATTATTAATGTATGCTATGTTATTTGATTGATTTTGTTCAAAATCAATGTTTTTATTCAAATGATAGAAAGGAACAATACCACTATCTTGAAGTGCCATTGCATGACGAAATTTAACTACATGCTTAGGGTCTCGACGACTGTGACATTTATCGGCATGTTTACATAAAATTCGAATGTCACGAATATCCGAATGAGTGAACATATTTAAGTGCTCCTCTTGCAAAAGCCTGGCACATTCCGTACCAAATGTGCAAAGTAAACGCGGTACATGAATCGACTTTTCTAAATGTAATGGTGATTCAAGCTTACAGCTACGTCCAAAGTGACATATATGAGCAAATTCACGACAATGTTGCTCGACATCACGTGATGATTCACCATATTCGGCTGGTTTCAATGATTTATTATATAATTCACAGTGATACGGACTCAACGGACATGGCTGAGGAAATGGATGTTTGTATCTTTTGATATGATCTTTATCATGAAAATTGGCGCAGTAACTTCCATGTTTACATTTAGGTTGACAGTGACGATATTGAGTACAATGTGTTTTATTCTTGCTCTGAAAATGCGTACATTGATTTAAATCTGGGCACATTGATACATGACGATATTCTTTTTCATGATCTTCTGTCGTATTTTGACAATGTCCTCCATCTGGACAATAGGACGGATGGTCGAATTCTTGAACATGTCTTTTTTCGTCAATATCTAAACATCGACCACCGTATCTGCACGGTTTTCGTTCTGTTGATGAAGCCATAGGGAATGCACAAAAAATTAATAAGCAATCTTCGAACGAATCACAAATCCTCTAAACAGAAAGAAACGATAGAAAACAATTAGCTGATTCAAGAAATACTTTTTTTTGTAGTGATCTTATAGGTCAGAAAAAAACCGGAAGTACTACATTGACATAAAAAAAAACTATTTTGATCTAAATCCCACATTGTGTATAAAAAGAGAGATATAATTAACTGAACGATGAATAAACGTATCAGTCGTTAGTTTACAGGGTATTTCAAAAGTCATGATAACTTATGAATTGGATATAACTCCATTATCAAGCACGTTATATTTAATATATTTCTTATTTAGAAAAAGACGTTGAATAGATGGAAGTTAAATGCAGATAGATTTCGAAAAATAAACTGATGCTCTGTCTTGCTGAAAAAGCATGAAGTTACTCAATTGGTTGTTCTGTAAAATTCGATTATAGAATTTCTAAATAATTGTTTTAGATTAGTATTTCATCACCGATGATTGGTGAATCGGAAAATGTGGATAAATATTAGAGGTCTTCGGTCGTTAGACTTGGTATATTTAAACTTCTAGCTATGCGTCTATTTCAAATCGAATGATTACAGATCAAAATGTAGTTTCCTATAGGGAATGAAAAAAAGAACCAATTGAGTCATTTCATAAATAAATTGAATACTGAAGATTAAATATGAAAATACTATAGAATACTAGTTCATCATTATCATATAAAAGAAATGGATGACTTTTATTCAATTTTCCTGTGTAACTATGCCAGAATTGATTCATATAACAACTCATTCAATCTTAAAAATAGTATAGACTCAGTTTATACGTGTATGAAACGGAACACATTTTAAGTTCAATACAAATGGGGAAATAATGTTTTTAGGTTAATTTGAAGAAAATATATTATGTATTATTTAGTCTTTTTCAATAAAAATATGGCTGATAGATAATGTTAGCGATTGCAAATTTATTAAACACCGTCATAAATATGTCAGTAGATATACACATGAATATGCATTCGTATATGAACGCGTTCAAAGTAGCATCACATATTGTATTGAAACTGAAAAAATGCCCAGATAGGATTATTGATCATATACAAATCTCATTGAATTTAGATTTAAATAACCTTAGTTGGCAACGTTCTTTTACTCGATAACACGATAATAGGACTTTCAATAGAAATTACATTTGTGCGAATTATTGAATGATGACAGTGCGAGCGAAATGCTACTTGAAACGATTTAAAAAATTAGAACATATTAATAATTATTCAATATTTCCGGAAAAAATTCAATTTACTCAAGGGTTTCTTCATTTATTTTTCAAAAACTGAAAAATGTTCAGTCCACAAGTTTCGTATAAAGAAAATATTTTGTATATATTCTAAATTAAAAAAGGACGATCGCTTTCTAAGACAGAATACTAATATATGCATTTGGTTTTATTTACTCAATTTAAGTAATAGATTTTGCTCAAGGGTTCCTGATAAACTGTATTTACCATAGTCGGGTCGACTAAAAAGAATATGTATGATATTCAACATGACAATATATTCATCTCGTCTTGTTTTACTACAGATCATGTGAACAATAGACAGTTTTGAAATCAACATTCGCTTCATTCTTTATCGAAGATTTTCGAGCACAAGAAGTGGTAGAATAAAAATTTCGAATAGCGAAGCAATATCTAGCGTATTATTACGTCAGTGATGTGTTGATACTTACGAAAAGTATAAATTAGTCGATGAAACAGATTATCAGAGGTAGGTAAACGTAGAATAAACGTAAAGATTCATCAAGCTACATATATTGTATTTTATGCAGGGTTGCCAGCTGTTAAGGTCCCGAATGGGGTACAGAACGTCTCCAATGGGGTACACATGGGGTACGCTCGTGGGGTACAAAGTGTTTTTTACAAGACAAGAAATTGACGTCACGAAATGGCTGGCAATAGCATTTTCAGCGAAAGAAAGATCACATTCAACTGCCTATGTGCAAGACATGACCTGAAATGTTTGTTTTTAAACAAAAGAGTTCGCAGTTATTGCTGTTTTCAACATATTTCTGTTCAAAAGATTAAAAAAAATGTTTAATTAGAAAAAACGCTCTGTATTCACATTAACTGGCGCATAGTTTTTTTCATGACGGTATTGCTATTTGCTTTTGGCAAGTTGAACCATTTCTGGTTGCGACTGTACAAATAAATAATAATCTTCACATTTCAGCTTAGTATTCAACTTCAATCTAATTTTTCATTCAGTCGCAATTGACATCGAGTTTCGGCTTGATGCCCACGAGTGCTTCATATGACTGAATCACCACCGAAGCAGACAAAAATTTGGAAAAGCACGTTTAAACGTTCAAAATGGGACGGCCATTGTGAGCCATTAACGCTCATTAAAAACCCGCAAGAAAGGCATTATGTATTCAAAACTTTCATTTTTAGAGCGTGAAGCCGACGGAAAACTCCAGTTTTTGAGTGCTAAAATGCATTGTTTTTACATTATAGGATAAAAGTGTGCTTTAACGCTAAAAAATGAATTTTCCCGTCTTTTTTACGTTCTGAAAGTACAAATTTTGAACATAAAATGTGCTACTTGCGGTTTTTAATGAGCGCTAATGGCTCACAATTATGGATCTATTTTGAGCGTTCAAACGCGTTTTTCCAAAGTTTTGTCTCCTTGGACAGTCGGCTAATATGATTAACACTTTTATCTCCACAAGAAAAACGCTAGTTAAAGCCAAAAATGTCATTGATTTATATCGAAAGATAATTGATATATATAGTGTAAAGGGAAAAGTCCAAATGGGGTACAAAAAGTCCAAAAGGGGTACTGTACCTCAAAATGGGGTACAGTTGGCAACCCTGATTTTATGTTAAGTAGAAAGAGGCAAATCAAATAGGTAGTTTTCTAGTATTCCTTTCTGTTACAGTCATATCATAGAATCCACTTACACTGGAACTTGTTTTGAACAGATGTAATATTTAACTGATAAAAAATACCCAACACACATAAAAGAGAAACTTGAGTAAAAGAAAGCCTTTGAAAACATCATATTTTGAATAAATAAAGAAAACTGCTATTCGATGTCACGTGTTTTCGTTACATCGTAGTGTTTTTTCCTCTTTTATTGACAAACTGATAAAAAAACAGCGCACACCGAAAAAAATAAAAATATCGCGTACTGATTATATTCGAAGTGGAAACAGCGTATTTTTGTATTTTAGAAATGCATTTTTCCCTCTTGCTTTAAACGCACACTTTGTTAGCTCTAATATTTTTAAAATATAAAGGGCCAATGGTTTCACTGATGTTGTGTCTCAGAGTGAAGAAAAGGATAACTTTTAGGGCGTGGGTGTCGTACATGCTCTCTAACTTTCTACACCCACACCCTCAAGGGTGGCTGATTCGATGGACGACGGACCTATTCGTGTTCAAACAGCGAATGCATCATCCAGTGATAGCGAATCAATCTATGATTCAACTGTCACTAGTGATCCAGTAGACGATGAAGAAATTAATTCGGATGAAAGTAGTGAAGCAGTAAGTGCAGCTGGATATATTTTATCTTTATTTAGTCTAACTTTTTAGATGGATACAATCCCCTTAGATGAAAATATCGATGAACAAGGTATCGAGGTTCCAATTGAAATTTCGGTCTTTTCAAAAAGGTAGATGCTTAGGATACAGACAATTAAGTACTTTTTGTTTTGTAGTCAATGCTGTGTTTGCAAAAAACAAATTGTATCTTCAACGGTGACTATTCGCGAAGCAGATCGCGCTGAATTGTTCATTTGACGCCATATCGAAATACCTACAGGATCCCGATGCTGCAAGCTACACACTGTCGATAAACGTCTGATACCTGAAGCGTTCCAGTCTCTGGTACCACACAAAGTGCAATATCGACTTTTTTCTCGACAAACGCTTATAAACCTCCTTAAATCGTATCGTACACGACTCAACAGTAACAAACACCTTGATTTTGACGAATGCATGCGCTTAACAGATGCTGATTACATTCAACTGACTGGATTACTTGAGCTCAGCATGCTCATATCTTGTCACATATACCTCCAACATCTTTGAAGAATTCAACGGCAAAGTCAGCTCGATCTGCTCTGGCGTATCTTTTAATGAAATTGAAACTGGGCTTGAGCGATTCGGTTTTATCATCTATGGTTGGTTTAGACAGCAAACGCCACATGAACCGTATCATATGCGAGGCTCGAGTTGCGGTCACTAAGCACTTCGTACCTCGCTATTTGGGTTTAGCTCACTTAACACGGCAGGATGTTATCGACAAGCATACGTCACCAGTCGCAAATCGCTTATTGACTGAAGGTCGAGACCCATGTATACTGGTACTCGATGGAACCTATCTATATATACAGATAACATAAGTCACGAGCATTTTCAAACTAACACTTTCTTTTGAAAAATAGAAAAGTCGAAATAATGCAGTTCAACGTAATACATACAGTCTGCAGAAGAAATAGACATCGATCAAGCCCATGATTATGGTAACCACAACTGGGAATATAGTCACAATTTTTGGACCATTCTTCTCCGACTTGCATAACAATGACGCTTCTATTCTGAAGCATGTCATGCTCAACAACTATGAGAATATTCTTACTTTGGCCAAGGAAAATGACATCATGATTTTAGACAGAGGCTTCAGTGATTCTTTTGGCGTACTAAAAGCTCTTGGGGTCGACACTCCGATGCCTTCGTTTCTTGGTAAAACTCGACGACAATTCGATGCATACGATGCCAACCGATCATGTTTTGTCACGAAACTACGTTAGGTGGTTGAAGGTGTCAATGCACGACTCAAAAGATTCAGTCAAACCATTCAAAATTCATCTTTGTCATCCGTCCCTGGTTTTATGACCATTGTACCAGCACTTAATAATTGCTTTCACGTACCCATGGGTAGTAGTCTCATCCGAAGATGTTGATATAGTTCGACGTATGAATCAACTGCTCTCAATAAGCAACATCTTGTAAGAACGGCTTATCCAAGATAATCTGCAGCGACATAACGTTGGGCAATTCATAGATATTGACAATTTATTTGAACCATTTCCTGTCTTATCTTTCGATGATATCAGATCTATAACTCTAGGTATCAAACTTTTCGATCAAATCTTCATTAGCATCTAACTATTTTTCAAGTGTCTATCAGTTGAAAACAGCAAGAAATTATGCTGAAGAACACAGCGACTGTACTAAACTCACCGATTCGGATGTCAATTTTCCAATGGAAGCATGCACTGAACATGGCGCTGAAGACATCATTCGTCTCCGATTCCGATCTTGAGGGTGTGGGTGAGTGTGGATTAGAGTGCCAGGAAATAGTGACCAGAGAAACCCATAACCACACCCACACCCATTTTGCAACGTAAAATACAAAATGGCTTCTTATGTATATAATAATGTGCATGATAACTCCAGTTTTATTAGGCATAAGACAGCGAACTAGTTACTGAATATCGTTTAATATTTTCCTGATTTTCTTCCTGACTCTTGAATAAAAATCACTTGATCATGTCCTAGTTTGCGAGACTTATTTTCAGCAATCATGATGCCTACTCACACCCACATCCATTCTTTAACAGGCCTAATAATGAGAGACAAAATGCAAGAAAATTCTATAATTTTTACGTGTATTTTATAAAATCTAGTGAGGGTGTCACAGTACAGTATAGATAATGTTGCATGTTAGATGCATAATAGAGTATTTTTGGTTTAGTATTCTTCAAAAATAAGACAAACTAATGCTGAAATACTATTAAATCTTGTAAGAATTTAGTACAACGTTTTGTATATTTGTTTCATCAGAGCATGATTTTATTTTTCTTACTACAAAAATATTCTTACTTCAAAATACGTAAAAGAAAAAAAAATAATGTCAACACAGTGATCATATGTAGCGTTGTTATTACACCAGTTATCAAATAATAATTTCCTATGAAAATGTTTAACATCCCAAGTCGATCAAAACGGATATCGTTTACGGTTCATTTTCTGAAAGTAAACGGTAGGAAGCGACATTTTTACGGCAGTAAACTGCCCGTATTTTCCCGTAGTACTGGATGCAGTAATACGGCACTGTAAACGATGCCGTATTTTCGCCGTATACGGTCGTATTTACGCCGGATTCTCATTGCGATACGGCTGTATTCCTGCATCCAGTATCATGACCATATACGGTCCGTTTAAATATCGTTTTTTCACCGTAAACGGTCGTATATTGACCGTATTTTCTGGCATGGGATGATGATACATGTTAAAAAAATAATTTTCGTCTTTCTTAATTCAATAAGTAAGAATGAATTGACCCATAGCATATAAATTGTTTAACAATGGTATGGCTTCTACAAAAGTTGATGACATAACATTTTTTAAAAGTAAATTAGTATCTATATGTGAATTGTGGTAGAAGTGGAAGCAAATCAGACCGACGAAAAATTGCGATAGGTTAATTTCATAATAAAACGAAAGAAAAAATACAATATGTTCTCATTGCAATAATTTTCGTAATAAATTTTTCATCAATAAAATATTTTTATCGGATGAGGTTGATGATGATAATGAACTTAACTATTTGAACAATTCGATTTCAAAATGTAGAGCTGACGTTGTACCTTCAAAAACCAATACATGAGTCAATGGTTTAACAGTATTTTTTGAGCAATGACTAACATATGATAATCTGTTATTTCTATTATCAACGCGTAATGAGGTTGATGATTCAATAAGAAATTTGTTTTCATTTTTATACAGATTCTTTTGCAATCGACCAAAACTAATTTTTTTAATAATATTATAGTATAATGACCATCAACTTGAATAATGTTTCATTAATTGTTTGGATGCGAACTGAAAGAATTTTTTAAAATAAACACATCCTCAAGAACAAAATGTACGTGTTTCTAAATGTTCACATGTTATTAAATACGAGGTATCTAATAATCTTATTAAAGATTGTACTATCATACATACAGTCAATTTGATTCAACACAAGTTATCGCATCGTATTGTACGTGCATACCAGATCCGTGGACAGTCGATTGTTGCTTACATATTGCAGCAGCTATTTGGCTTCTAGGTTATGAACGCTATCAAAGTACTACAAATCGACAGCCATCATCAACTAATATCACAAACGTTCAGTATGCAGATGATATTTCAGATTTTGAACCGTCTTCGGATGACGAACATAATAGCTATATCTATACATCAAAATGATATACGTATATATATATATATGAAATTTTTCTTCAGAAATAAAAGTATGAATAACTATTCGGCTTGTTGAATAGAAATTCAAGATTGATAAGTTCCGTCCCAAGAAAAGACCATTCTATACCCTTTCCTTCCTCTGCTTTTCACATGTGATTACTTACCAGTTTAACTTTTATATATTCTAACCAATTCAATACTCTTCATATTACTCATCCGACCTCATTTAAACCTACCGAGTGATCCAATAGGGATAGCAATTGTTCATTTAACTTCAACAATCTCGGTATCGAATCTCCGTCACAGATGATGATGAAAAGGGCGTCCTATAAGCCGTTCGGCTCTGAATCCAACATACTGACCAACGAGAAAGGGGCTACTGCTCAATAAGCTAACGATACGGATGTCCATGGAAAACATCCCATACGATTCAATGCACTACTGAAAAGGATGTCCATAACAATTGATCCACTAGTATCCAATGAAGTATAAATAAGGATGTCCACAAAAATAAACAATCCGATTCCATGAACTGATATTCAGATACCATCTTCTCCGTCACTATACGATAAGCAACTATAAATCAAATCTGTTAAGTATCATATTCAGCATTCGCCACGCAAACAGTAATTTTCCCACACACTTTCGATAGTACACTGTTTAAGAATTGTCGAGCACAGAATATTTTACTTGATGTTTTATGATAGTTTTCTAGAACTCGGAAAGCTTTATCTGCAGGTTATTAGCGGGTCTATATAATGTGTTGCAGGCTGCTACAACATTCATGGTAGTGTATATTCTATTGTAGAGATCTACTGTTTGTAGACAGAGACTAAAACTTTATGAAAATGGCCTGTAAAAGCTCAGAATAGTGTACTCACGCACAGTACAATGTGAAATAGTAGTTAGAAATGATTTTTGAACTGATTTTCATTTAGGGCCGTTTTGTTGACAAAGTGTTCCCCTCCTTTCAGAGTCTGGATTACTTGCTCTACGTGATGTTTCTCGTATGCTGTGTAGTTTTTCCTACACTTCAATGGGCACCTATAGTTTTCCATGTCTTCCTATTCTACGTTAGTTAGATTAATCATTTCTATCACTTTACTGGTTAACACCGAAATGAAATGATTTTGCTACCTTAATGCTTATGTCGGCCCCTTCTCTCACCTCCCATATTTAAAACAGTTAGAATCTACAAATTTCCAGAATGATCTAAACGTTATTATTACTTCTATTCAAAAACAGATTAACCTATATCTTAACGAAGAAGACAAATCACTCTGTTCATAGCCTCAAATCTCGCTTTTCAGAAATCAATTGAAGTCGAACATTAATTTTAATTACAAATGCTAAATAATAGTATGCTTAAGTTGTGAAATCAATTAGAATCAAATGTAAAGTTTACTTTCGCCCACGCGTTTCGTGTTATTTATTGAAATAGGATGTGGATGTGTAAAAAACGTCAGCCACATTCACACCCACGCCCATCCTGTTAATGCAATGTTAATGATTTACTTCAATAATTTGCGAATATTGTTTTTTCCGGATCAGTAGAAATGAAGTATACCATATAAAGCTAAAATTTAATAATAAGCGCAGGTTTAGGATAAATCTATAGAACCACCACAATGGCCAGATCCAACTATGCCCGATTTACTTAAATCATAGATGACTCTATTGGCATGCAGTGCAAGCTTCAATTTCATTGTATAATAGTCAACATAAGTGTGCCACTCAGCAGCCAATTGTCTTACCAATTTTTCCTGACTAGATTTGTTTAGATCTTCGTAAATTTTTCTGGTTTGAATTGTTTGAAAATAAGCAGCCATTCGATATGTTGAACTCCAATCGCCGCCTTCAGCTTTCCAAGCCGTCCCTCTATCATAGTCATAAGACGCCCTTCTATCTGTTTCTACTAGCGAAACACTAATTAGCTCTATTCTTTTATTGTAGTAATATTTCTTGTGCACGATGTCTAATTTGTAAGCCATTTCGATTTAGTGATACGACTAAAATTAGTTAAACATTGATAAAAGATTCCAGTAAAATTAAACTAAAGCACGTTTTTTTTTACATCAAAATAAATCTAATTATATAGAAAGTATGAGTAAACCAGCCTTTAGTTTTTTAATTTCACAATGCAGAGGGCAACAAAATATTCGATTTGTAAAATAGATGACATGATAGTATTTAGAGTACCAGTAAATAATGAGAAAGTGATCAGTTTATTATATGAAATAGCAGTAAAAATACATCATTTGTACCAGTAAAGAAAAGGAATTTGATAAGTAAAAGAAGAAAACTTGATAAGTAAATAAGACAGATTTTACCATTAGAAAAGGTAAAAATTATCCATACAATATAGTATAGAATAAAAGAAAAAAATTGAAATGGGAAAAATCATAAATAAATTTTTGCATTAGCAAGCACGTTTTGCTTTTTCTGGTCGACTTCTCTTTTTTTTCATACCAATCGGGACAGTCTTTGTCGCCGATCGCTGTTTCAAATTCTTAAACAAACACTCGTTGCGATGATGGGTGTGGGCTTGATATGATGGTGAGTGAGTGGGGACTGTGGTTGTTTGTGTCCACTAGATTTGTTTCTTCAAATTCAGTCAAAGCCATAGCCCACCCTAAATCACCTTGGTATACTTTTTGAGATACTCGATCTTCGCCAATATGATTTTCGCGAATTATTGGCGGGAGTCCAGGAGGCATACTGGTGTATGTCGATCCAGATTTCGCCAATATTCACGCTAGTCAACTTGAGCAATTCGCTACAGTAACGACATTCTTTGAATCATTCAACTTTGGATCAAAAGTTGCCGTATGTTCGTCAAGTTGACAAAAACATAAGATAAACTGTATGGGATTTGTGGAGAGTGCATATCATATATCAATATCATTTCCTCTAATAACTGAAAATGTGGTGGAGTTTCGCCATCATTGGCGAGAGTCATATTACCAAACTTATGGCTACTCTACTTTTTGACTTCCTTACTTATTGTTTGATTTAACTAACTGTTACTCTATTTTATTAACTGATATTACAATTTTATTACATAACCTTTTTATTTAACAACTGATCATTTAACTAATTAGTTTACTGGTACTTTAATATATAACTGATCATTCATTCAATCAACAGATTTTATAATATTTTTTGTTACTGATCATACCATCTAATTATTTTACTAATCATCTAAATTCATGCCAATACAGAGTGGCGCAAAAGTCACTTTACCGCGAAATAAAAGAATTGAGTATCTTCGATTCAACTCGAGCAAACGAGCTGATCTTTTTATCAACGATAGAGGCATACTCAAGCTTTGAATTGATAAATATATGCACAGAGACACCCTCTGTTAAGAATCACCATTGATCTCAACAATAAGCGTTCACTTTTTCACAGATAGGATAAAGAAAACCATATACTTAAAAACGGGTCTATCTAATCTTGTATTTATGAATGTATAAAACTTAAACATGCCTATATCATTGATAAAAAGATCAGCTTGTTTGCTTGAGTTTTAATGGAGATATTCAATTTTTTTCAGTAAGATGACTTTTGCGACACCCTGTATATTTTGTTTATTTCAATGATAAGAAATTTGAATTTGAATTGAGTGATAAGTGCTTTCATTTTCTGTTTCATCAGATAGGACGATAAGATATTTTAGTTTATTAACACGCACGTGTTTGTCAATATACATTTCTTCAAAAATTTATCATCAAGACATATGTTTACGTCACAATATTCACTATCTTGAAGGTGAGAATGATTTAGGCCTTGATTAAGAGCCTCACCAGACAGCTTAAATCGATCTAAAGTCTATTGTAATTCTCATAGGATTGCAAAGCAGTGAATAAAGTACCTTTTAAGACGGACGGTCATGTAGTTTTATGACTTGTCTTTATTGTTATTAAAAGTAACTTTTGTAACAAGGAAATAAGTGCCAAATCAAGTGTGTGATTTAGTAATGGTTTAGGTTTTGTTTATATTGCGAGACAATGTGGTATACGTGAGAGTGTGGATGAGGATAAGACGCGAACTAGATATGTTACCGCTCCACTACAACGGTTATTTCTGTTCATGCCGGGACTTCATCAGGTGGAATCTCAATATTATATCTGTTGGCTAGTAATTATAAAATGATAAATAATATTTGAAATACTTTTTCGATATAATAATTAGTGATATATTTGCATATTCAATTTTCTAGAATAAAAATTAACTTTTAATATATTCTTGTGTGAATAGAGCAGTCGAGATCGGCATTCAGTTCATAATTATTTCGTGGTATATGTGGTAAACGGTAGATTTGCTTCGGTTACTGAAAGTTGTTTTCGTGAATAAATCTGAAATAAAATAAAGAAGACAATGCAGAGGAATGTGACATTTTATATTTGGAGGCTTTCATAGTATGAAATAGAACTATTCCGAAAAAAATTATATTGGTTGTAAGTAGGGGTGGGCCATTAACATTAATTTTATATTAATGTTAATGTTTCTCATTAACCATTAATATTAATGCTTAATGTTTTCTGAGAAAAACTTGATTCATTAATATTAATGATTAATGAAAAACATTAACATTAATTTTAAAATTAATGTTTTCATTAATCATTAATATTAATGTCAATGTTCTTGAATGATATTAACGGTTAACGGAAACATTCACCATTAGTATGAATAGTAATGTTTTCGTTAATATTAGGGATTATACTTTCATTAATCATTAATATTAATGTTAATGTTTTCATTAAAATCAATGACTTAATATTAATGGTTAATGTTTTCATGAAAGCATTATAACTTTCCATATTAAGTAATTAACACTTTCGGAGAAAACATTAGCTATTAAGATCAGTTAATTGATTAATAATTGTAGATAATGTTTCCTTAGAAAAGCCTAATTCAGTAATATGGAAAAATTAATGTTTTCATGAAAACATTAACATTAATATTAATGATTAATGAAAATATAATCCCTAATATTAACGAAAACATTACTATTCATACTAATGGTGAATGTTTCCTTTAACCGTTAATATCATTCAAGAACATTGACATTAATATTAATGATTAATGAAAACATTAATTTTAAAATTAATGTTAATGTTTTTCATTAATCATTAATATTAATGAATTAAGTTTTTCTTAGAAAACATTAACCATTAAGATTAATGGCTAATGGAAGTCATTAATTAATGTCATTAATTAAGTTCCGTTAAAAAAAATGGTCCACCCCTAGTTGTAAGGGTGTGTATTATATAGAAGAATCTACTACACTGTAAGAAACAGAGTAGAATATTAAACCGTCATCTTATCTATGATCTTCCAAAAACTCTTCAAGGGTTTGAAGATTATCATAAACCCTAAAATGGTTTATAAAGAGTGAGGATGTGTGTAGGCTATGGTTTCGTTCTTTCTTAGCAACCACACCGACGCCTACACCCATCCTTCAAAAGTATTCAATTTTCCGACAAACAAGCTTTTTGTACGAAAAACAAATACTCTACTAACATCGGCAATCTCAGGGGGAATCGATCAACACAAAAATCATGAGGTCACAATTGTTCAAGGACAGAAAATTACGAGTAAAATTTGTATCAACAAAATTAAACGACTTGCAGTCTTCAACTGAGTTAGATAGAAAAGCAGATATTCTAAATCCCTCTGCCCCACAGCAATAATACTCCAGACAAGTGGCGAGTTTTTCTAAAGCATTGTCTTCGGAAGTTGTTGTTGTTGTTTTAGTTTTGCAGATCGCTATCGATAAGATCATCTTCCATGGCGACATGTAGAAAAGTAATGTGTGTAGTTTCTATTGCTGCATCCATTGTTGTCTTCGTGCTTGATATGATATCATTCCACAAGTATAAGAAACGAGGTGGTTATCACTATGAAAATAATACCAATACCCATTATTATATTGTGAAAGAGCAACATACACAAGAGGATTGCTTCAATCAAACAAACGCAATTACCCTTTCTAATGATAATGAACTGAACTGGCTCGTTCATCGAACAGGATCTCATTATTTCTTCTTAGTGTGCTTTTGGATTGGAATATTGGCAGCCTTAGTACTAAACATCGTCGGTACGTTGTTGGAGTACGAGAATGGATACATAGATGGTTTACATACGAAAGTGGTGCGGTCCATACGATCCTTTGTATTTAAAGGATCTCTAGTGATACCTGGCTTGTTTCTATTTGCATTTGATTACACTAAGCCTTGCTTGGAATACAAAAGCTTGTTTTTATCATCGATTTTGCCAAAAATGTGGATCTTTGTTTTTTTGTTCGTTTTCGTTGCCATTTTTATTTCTTTCGACATGATCCACGAATTTCGCACAGGAAAACGGAATGCTACATTTGAAGCTTTTAAGGACAAGTTAGAATATGCTGATTGCCATGTAAAGTTCATTCTAATTGTCCTGCTTATGTTGGTGTTACCTCTTTTAGCTTGCACTAGTGTAGTATTATTGTGGCTTTACATCATGTCATTTGTTATCAGTATACTCTCATCTTTTTTGATGATTATCAATGTAGTGCCTTCATATGTTATGATTTGTTCACAGTGCTGAAATAAATTTATATAAAGTTTGTGCGGTCATGTATGAAGTGCTTCAATTCATAGAAATCGTGGCATTATTTCAAGTAGAGTCCTGATGCACTTTTACTGATGAATGATAAAAGAATTATCTACTTTCACCTCATTGCTAGTTGGGCAGTATATTCGAAGGTGAGGATGAGAATGTGAGTTTCTAAACGAATTCCAAGCTAATCATGACGCGCTTTGATCAGGGCTTAATTTAAGCATCATCAGGTAACTTCGAAATTCTAATATTCTGCATGAAATTCAATCTGATATCAAAACAAAGTAGTTATAGAAGTCTTAGGGGAAATCACCAGCATTAATCTTATGTTAAGATTAAATGTGTTGAGTGTGAGATGTGAGGGGTGGATGTGTTTATAATATAAATAGATACCAACCTACTATCCTATGCATTTTGAATAGGGCTTAATCCATTCATCATCAGGTATGTTCTGAGGGTGTGGGTGTAGGAAGTTAGAATAGACGTACGACACCCACACCCACACCCAATCAATGCCGTTGCACATTCAAAATCATTAACACGACCATTTATTCAACAACAATCATTTAGGAAATTTCCACAACACACGTTTCAATAGCCAATAAGTCAACAATTTCGTCCAAATTATCCGCATACTACACGAATGGGGAATCAACAAATCCGACGTTATGATCCTTCAAGATATTCATCTTACACTCAACAATATATCTTAATGTTATTGTAAATAAAAAAAAACTAATGAAGACGATGATTGATACAGGTGCAAATCGAACTTTTATTTCTATAAAGACATTACATCTATCATATAAAAAAAAACGTATTAATAAAGTATCTAGTCGTGTAATTTTAGCTGATGATTATACATCTCTTTCTATTCTTAGCACAGTATACATTTATATATTAGCATGGGTGATATGTTAACTTCTATCAAAGCATTTATTGTTAAAGAATTATGTGTTGATCGTATATTAGGTATGGATTTCATCAATAAATATAAATTGATTATTAATACTGAAGAACGAACTGTTTCGATTCGTGATAGTCATAAACGTACCACCTTACAATTTGACGTCAACAAACATTGTATTAATTATCCGGCACGTTTAATCAAACATATTCGAATTCCACCAAAACCAAAGGTGTTAATTCCAGTATCAGCTGCATTATCATCAGCTCAAGTATTATTTCGTCCCTTTTTTAAATTATAACAACGATCACCTATACTTATGTTAAATACTCCATTAAATATTCATCGTCATACATCATTTATTTCACTTCACAATCCAACAAATGAAGTTCGTTTATTACTTAAAGGTATACTATTGGGTGGGTACAAGTACTATTCCTACTTTATCTTTTAAAAAAGATTCACATATAGATTATTCATTAGTACAGAAAAATATATTTAATTTAATTCAACATATTACTAATGCTGAACAAAAAGACAAAGTTAAACGTATTCTTGATAAATATGCAAAATTATTTGATACAACTAAACCTACAATTGTTATTAATGTAAAACCACATGCAATTAAAACTCTTGATTATCCACCTCCATCATCCAAACCATATTATTCTACTCCAGCTAAACAAGATTCAATGTATAAGATTACACAAGAATGTAACAAAAAGAGAATAAGTTTAACTCTACCGTTATACGCGGCATTGATGTTAGTCGAGCTACTTGTTAGCTCTGATTAAGGGGATGTTAATACTTAGAGATGAACTCTACTATGTTAAATATATGAAATAACTTACATCAAATAATTGATTATGTAGCTGGTTCAAACAAGTATTTGTTTGATCAGAATATATTTAATCAAGTCGTTGAAGATGAACAACGTAATAGAAGTTGAAAAAGAAAATAAAAAGAGATGGAATGACGACGTTATAAGAACGAATGATATATATATATATATATATTGGAAAGTCAATCACGTGAGTTGATTGACCAATGTGACGTAACAGAACAAGAACAATCAGATTAAAGGAGATATAGAGTTAGACGTTTAGAATCTGTTAACGACATCTGCAGACGCTAATACTACTTCATTCTAAATCGTTATGACAAATCGAGTGGGATAGTTTAGTGTTTTACTACACGATGTTTATTCAACTATACTCTACATACAAATGTATCCATGTAATACAAAACACACGCTTATATACGCCACCAAGAAAGAGGAAGAAATGGATGTATATCCAAGTAACAAAAAGGCTAATTATAAAAGAGAATTGATACGTCGATGCTATTATAATCGCCTTGACCGAACAGAAGGAAAGAAGAAGATGACCGATTACAAGAAGAGAGTGGTTGAGAACGACACAACTCTGTCCTCTAACTTTTCACACATCAGGGGCAAGGATAAACTATTGTTACATGATTTATAAGAAATAGTATTTAATTAGCTTCGTACATAATTTAGCGTTACCAATATTGGCACAAAGAATTATTTCAGTTTGAATTAATTCGTCCATCTTATTCTCCTGATGCTGCACAGTTATTCATCGGCAAATCTACTAGAGTTAATAATTGGGCAGGTGAATTAACGACAAACAATTCAACTTTATCATCATCTCGAAGACAAAACATGATTAATTATGCAATTTACAATGTCTTTTTAACAACTTATTGGATTCGACCAATATTAAGAAAATGGATATTTCAACAATTAAAAAATACAAGAATCAATGATTTATTTATTTCATTTAAATCAACATTACCACCGTCATTTCTTCAAAAAACAAAAAAATTAAAAAAAATGTTAATACAAAAATTTGTTAATGCATTACTTGGTGATGACGAATTAGAACCAATTTCTGATGATGAAATTTACGTTAATCAACTTGTTGGCCCAGTTAAACAAGCACCTCCTGCTATTGAGGAAATTTCAGACGATGAACAACAACTAACTGATCAATTACTTGCAAATGATATTGAATTAATTATTCATAATGATGGCCAAGTTAAATGAATTGACGATCGTGAACGACAACCGTCAACACGACCACATAAATCTGCTCATCGACACCGAACCAAAGAAGTAAGAAGACGAAGAAACCGCATCAAAAATAATACATTCTGAATGCGACGTTATCGATATTATATCAAATACAATATTTATTATCGATTTACGATGAAATTAATAAAAGCAATTCTTCGCTAAAATGAAATCAAACATACACAAGCCAGAGTCGTCGATGGCTTATTAATTATTGGTTTTAGACATGACATACTGAAACAACAATTATCTGAAGGATTATTTACACGGCATAATTATTATTATCAACATCATCATTGTCGACACCATCATGAGCATTATCGTGAACGATAACAACACCAACAAAAACAAAAATAGTATAAATGTTGTTTGTTATTTTTGTGTGTATTAATAGCTATTCTTCCCGTTATATTTTTTTGCTTTTTTTCTTTCCTTTTTCTGATAGTTTTTTCTCTCTCGGTGATACATGAATATTTTTTCTTCGTTTTCTATCTGATACATTTATGTCACATGATTTTCTTTTTCTATGAAGTTCTTTCTTTTATTTTGTTTCTTCTCGTTATATTTGTTAGAATTTCCGCATACATTAGATAAAAAAGTTTTAGTAAGCAAAAACTTTTTATTGCTTGGGGAAGGATGTTAGGATCTGACATCTTTATTATATAAAGTTAGAGGTCGATAGTTATTTGTTTTTTTCCTTTTTTGCTTGTTTGTTTTTCTCTCCTTTTTCTTCTCGGATATATATATATATTCATCGTCAGTTCTTGATATAGTTATGTTTCGCTAGATTCTCACTGCCTGATATATAATATCATAAAATAAAATAAAATCTAAAAGGGAAGCATAACATCCTTTTTTATATATGGATTCATTTCAAGATAATATGGAATGGTCAGTTATACCTGTTACAACAAAAACAAGATATTCTCCTTCTTTATATTTAGGTTCATATTGAGACAACGTGGCACGGTAAGTTATACATGTTGAAATGAAAAATAGATATGTTCCGTTTATATTCACGTTTATCATTATTACATGTCAAAAGTGAGTTGTGTTTAAATTTATGTATATTTGAAACCAAAAACTGAATATTTCATTTTTTGTCTAGGCTCATATTGGACAATATTAAATGGTAAACTACATAACAGGTCGGCCATAAATAATTAGACTGTTAGTATTTTCCGAATTTCTTTTCTTCCTCGTACTCGATTGAGCTGATTCTACTCTCAAAAGATTCCACGTTCAATTCTCTATAAAATGATGTATAGCCGATAATACAAAATTTTGAGATATTGTTTCGGCTGAACAAAATACGAGGTGTCCCAAAAAACTGAAAAAGTGTAACTTAAAAATTGGTATTTCGCTAATAATAAATCAAGCTGTTTAATCGTATTAAAGCTAAATATGTAAAATTGTAGCCGTTGAAATTCTCTCTCGATTGGCCATCAAAGCGAAATTCTTCTCTTTATTTTATCCTTTCATTCATGATTTCTGTAAAAGCCCCATCACTGGTTTTTAGCCTTTTTGACTTGCTTATTAGGACCATCCGCAGATTGATCATATTTCGAACAAGATTAAACCAACCAGACTCGTTCAAGCATCATATGAAAACAAATATTTTTCCCTACTAAATACACATTCAAATAGTTTTAAATATTGTTTTGTTAAAAAATCGAGATGGTACCACTTCATAACACTAACATTTCGCTGATGTTATGGCGGCAAGCAGCTAATTAGCCATTTTCTATCAGGTTAACGGAAGTAGAAAAAATGAATTTAGTCCCCATCAGATAGAGAATATCTGAATTGTAAAAACATAACTTGGGATCTGATTTGTACACAATTTTGACAGAGATTTAAAATTGCAAAGCTTTGCTAGAAAACGATTACCTTTTTCCGTTTTTTGGGACACCTCATATTTTGTTCAACCAAAACAATATCCCAAAATTTTGTATTATCGTCTATACACTATTTTGTAGAGAATTGAACGTGGAATCTTTTGAGAGTAGAATCAGCTTAATGGAGTACGAGGAAGAAAAGAGATTCGGAAAATACTAACAGTCTAAATATTTATGGCGCACCTGTTATGTTGTAATGAAGTCATACACTTTTCTTTTTTATGTTTAGGTTCATCTGGATGGCATATCATTGGTAAGTCATATGTTCTATGGAAACTGTAAATATATGTTCTTTTTTTATTGAGGTTGATTCGAAAACTCATTGAAACGTTTCTATGGTACGTCTTTTTATAGTGAGACACCATATTTTTGAAATACTGAACTACATCTGTGGTGCAAAACCAATATCCGTGGAGTAATTGATATTTTATTAAAAACCATTCATATTGGTAACTTTTTCTGTTGGACTGAATCACTCTTGGTGACGCATTACGAATGGTTTCGTTGGTTTCTCACAGAACCATTTTAGACTAATCCATTTCTGATGAAGAATTGTAAGTGGTTCAGTTGGGATTTCACGGAACCCACTTTGATGTAGAACCTTTCTGAGGGTTCTGTCTTTTACACGATAGCAGAACCCATAAAAAGGTTCTGCAAAACTCCTTTTTTCTTCAGAGTACGCACCATGCTCTTGTGTAGAATTAGTGATAACCTCGTCGGTGTTAATGTCGATTAGTGCTATTTTCAAAAACGATAATCAGCGTCCACTATAGATATCAGAAACTACGATGTGTTCCATTATCATAGCCATTCCTTTAACACTGTCAGCAGCACATGTATCGACGTGCTCGCTGCCAAATTACAGCCTCGAGTTTCAGTAGCCTAGATGCACCCAGTCTCAGCTGACTAAGTGTCAACAGATGCCCAGAAAAACTGTGCTCCGTTATAAAACTGCTCGCTACACTATCTCACACCGTACGACACAAATCCTATGTACTACGCAGAGCAGTGCCAAATGCTTTGTGCATGCTTTCTTAATGCATATCCTACGATTACCAACAGTTTTTCAGTATCGAGACCTACTGATTGACTTACGGGTATACATTGCTTATGTCTGTCAGTTTTGATAACAAACAGTGTGTGGGTGATTACCAATTATAAATTGATGATTTCTACAAATGAAATGCATGAAAAGCTACTTTTATCCTATTCATGCGACCTTTATGACACTTCGCTATATGGTCGATTGCTGCTGTCAATACAAGTATCGTCGTTAACCATCCTTCCAGCGGGTTGTTTTTACGTAAAATTATATCGACTTTTTAAGGGCAGATTTTAGGCGAATCGTGTTATATCAGTTGGGAAAGCGTCAAGTTTACACTGTAAATTTGATTTCATCATTTTTCAGGATATTTCTGCTAAAATGGAGGGTATTGACAGTGTAAGCGGTTCAGCTGTACTTTACAGTAATAATCATGATTAGCATAGTAAAGCTTATTTAAAAATATTTTCTCTCAATGACTAGGATTCTGGTTTCAGCTATCGAAACATAGGCCCATCAGCAATCAATCACATCACATAAAAGGCTGCAGTTAGTTATTAGTAGACTCCTAAAAATGAGAGATTAAATGCGGCAAATCATGCACACTTGTCTGCACGAGCATTGAATAGCGTCAATCTCTTGACTTTCTCCATTGTGATGATTTCTGATAGAAGAAGTGCTTGTATTGATGAAACCATGCTTTATTTCATTTCATGAATCACGCCAATTACATAAAAAAAAAGCGTACATTATAATATTCGACTACCCAGGTCGAGCATTACGACGACTAGATACGGCCGTAAACGGCCGTTTACGATGACGTACACGGTCGTATACGCCGAATTTACGGCCGTATACGGGCCGTATTTTAACGTTTTGGTATGCGCCGTATTACGGCCGTATATCGCCGTGTCGTATACGGTAGTACACCCCAACCGTTTCGCAC